ATTGTGCGCATGGGAGGGGGAAGCTATCAGAACTTTGAATCTGATTGTAAGTAACTATGTTTGGCTCCATCCTAACTTCAGGTTAGTCAAGACTACCTGTAGTAGTAGTAGCAGTATGAAAAAATACTGATCCATCCATCAAGCTCATGGGTCATGGATTGGACATGCCTGATCTTAACCTTCATTCTGATTTGGGCTTCCTTTTATTCCTCAGTATTTTATTTACAGAGAAAAGAAGCACCTTTTACACAGTACAGAGCAAACTGGTAGAATTCATTACAAGATTCAGTGATAGTTACTAACTTGGATGGCTTTAAAAAGGGGATTGGATAAATACACAGAGGTCAGGTTTGTCAAGAGACTCATGTGCCCTCAACTCGAGATCAAAAACAGTTCTGCTTGTGAACAACTCAGAGGCATCAAAATGGCTGTTCTGAGAAACAAAATGGTACATTAAGATGTGACTTGGCCAGATCCAGCAAGGCTAATCTTATGCTACCATGTTTTTATGCTCTTATTTCTTGATATAAAAGAACATTCAGTTAGGCAAGTCTTCAAATGGTAGAGCCTTCAAATGGTAGAGCCCAAGCTATGAGTTGCTCACTCCCATAGTACTATAGTTACATTATTTCCCATTCTTTGGCTTTGTGTACCACACACAGCATAATTCCTGGTCTTGTGAATTTGCATGGATCAGTAGCACAAAAAGATTAAGAAAAAATACATTCTTATGGGATCCCTTAATGCTCCTTTTGTTCAAAATCTACTCAATTACTTCTTTTGAACAGGGAATATGTCTGAGACTAGAATCCCTTTTTTAAAGTATATTACCTTTGTTATTCTAATAAGCTTCTTTGCCTTTTAAAATGTGTAAAATTCCCCCATCTCTAGCTCAAATGGCTTAGGTTAATAAATGAATGAAGCTTAAAGTAAGAAAAACAGGAATTTTCAATGTTGTTAAAAGAAAAAAGAGTGTCCTATAGGCTGAGTCAAATTGATTCCCAAATATTGTCTCACATCATTGATAGACTGATGACATCTCAAGCCCTGAAACCATTCAACCATAGCCTAGCTACAAGAACACCAATTAAATTTTAAAGAATTCTGAGTCCCAGTACCAGAACAAGTCTCATCTCATGTATAATCTGAAGAACCAGGGCTGCTGGCAGTCTGTGGATATGTCCCCCCTGTCCCCAAGCCTTTCCAAACACCACTTCCAAATTATAACATTTAATTCCACCATTAGGGAATTAACAATATTTGAAGAGTTAACAACACAAGCTGTGTTTAATTATTTCTAATTTATTAAAATAAAATAGACTGTACAATTCTTCAAAGTACAAGACGATAAGATCAAAATCTACCTAAATCCACATCTCAGTCAATGTGATTTTTTTTAAATCAGTCTAATCAGGTAGGGATAAGAATCACCAGGAAGATATTTGTTTACTCATTAATTTGTCCCTTTAAATTTCTCTCCTTAGAAGTTGCTCCCTTGCCCTAAAAATGCTCCTATTGGCTGAACATGCTTTTTCTTCCTGTCTGTCAGTGGAAGAGAGCAAAGATGAGGTCATTATCTGTTCTAGGAAATTGCTTTATAAATACAGGTAGTCCTCCCTTAATGTCCCTAATTGGAACCAGCAACTCTGTTAGTAAGTGAAGAAGTTGTGAAGCAAAATATCAGGTAAATGCCTGGCTTAGTGATGGTAGTTCCAGCAGTCCCGATTGTGGTCATTAACTAAATCACCTGTGGCTCTTAAGTGAGACATCATGTGACAAACTTGTGACCTCTTGCCAGCTTCCCCATTGACTTTGCTTATTAGAAGCTGGCTGGAAAAGTCACAAATGGCAATCACATGACGCTGGGGGGGTCATGAGTTTTGCAAATGTGTGATGGTTGCCAAATGCCCGAATCATGATCACATGACTACAGGGATTCTGCAATGGTCATAAGCGCAAGGATTGGTCACAAGCCACTTTTTTAAGCACCGCTGCAGTTTCGAATAGTTGCTAAATAAAAGGCTGTTAAGTGAGGACTGCCTATATAATCAAAGATAAGATGCCTTGGGTGTAATGTTTATTTAAATAAGTCCACAATTTGTTTTATTTTAGCTGTATATAACCATTCCTAGGTCTTCTTTACTGGGTGTGTTAATGCAGTATTTCTTAACCTCTGCAACTTTAAGATGTGTGACTTCAACTCCTAGAATCTCCAATGATGACTGGGGAATTTTGGGAACTGATTCACTGGTTCTGAGAAAAGTATTTTAAAAACCCCAAACTTTGGAAAAGGAGTTTGTGCAACTCCTTTAAGTGTAATTTAAGTGTATATATGAATAGTGTATATTTAAGTGTATATATGAATAGATGCACAGACACACACACACACACATACAGAAACATTGTTAGTAAATTAATGTTAAAACAACTCCAGATTTTACATAATTTCTTTCCTGGAACAAAAAGACATGTTTGCACTTCCCCTGGTGTTCTCTCCAGAGGTTAGGACTACCATTAACGACAGATTTATTGTCTAAGGATGAAAGCTCCAGAAAACTACATCAAATGGGAAGAATATCTGGAAACCTCACCAGAAGTTACGCTTTAGCACTTGGCTTCTGAATACTATTTTAAACCCTCCAAAAACAGTGCAATGAAAGAGAAAAGTGTTACTCCTGGGGGAATTTCACCAGTGACAATTTTTACTGTCATGATACATCAATCAATCTTCTCTTTACACTATGAAACTGGTGATGGCTAGATGTGAGGATATGGAGTTCAAAGTTCTCAAAAAATAAATTTCAGTCATGTTCAAATCCACCCCTCCTCTAAAAAAATGGCCGTTTCTTTGACACTTTGACAACTTGACTGCCTGATAACTGCTTTATTCCAGATTGCCAACCTCAATGACCTCCTAGTTTAATGCAGCAGAGGAAATATAACTCAGTAACAGAAAGTTCTGTAATTAATTTACTTACAGTATACATCTACCCTTATTGACTTGATTGCTGGTGAGCCCAAGCCGTTTTCAGCTTTGCAATAGTAGCGCCCTCCTTGATGCCGCTGTATATTTGTGATCCTCAAGGTCTCATTAAACACACTCGAGTCTTGAAACCGGTCAGAGGCACTTCCTGCTGTTTTTGTCCACCTGATCTGAGCAAGCATCAAAAAAGAGTGTTACTTTAGCTGGTCCTTCTCTTCTTTTCGTCACTAACAAACATGACACAGCAGCACACACAACATTGCATTTAGAGAACATCAGGTCTTCAAGTAGCAAACATGGAATTATTTTACTAAGACACAAAAAAAGAAAGCTATGTATGACTAAGTCGATGTAATTCCATCAAATATAGGGCATACTTATAGGTAAAATTAGACTTGACAGGGAATAAAAACTCAGCTTGTTTTCTAGTACATCTAACATCGTTTTGTTATTTAGATTTTGAATTTGACAGCAATATGTGATCTGAAAGCACGCAGCAGAACTAAGTTTTCTAGAATTGACCTAACACAAATTAAATGTATTTCATTAGTTACCAAATTTTATGCTACTTCCTTGTTCAGAAAGAACTGAAGTGAGTCTTTTATTTTAAAAAATGTGCATTAGGAAAACCGGGGCCCAAATTTTTTCATTGTAAATAAAATTGCAGATTTTTCTATGGCTAAAAAAATGACACATACAAAATTGAGTAGAAACATACATAAAATTGCAGTGTTCACATGGCAAGGATTTAGATCAGTGGTTCTCAACCTGTGGGTCGGGACCCCATTTTGGGTCGATCGACCATTTCATGGGGGTCGCCAAGCAAGGCTGTCTGCCATTTTTTTTGTCTGCCATTTTTCCCCCTTTTCCGGCAGGTGCCTTACCTCCCTTGGGCTGGGCCAGCTGGTGGTCGGCCTGCTCCGTCTCTGCCGCTTGCCAGCTACGCCTCGGCCGGCGCAGGGGGCAGAACCACCCATGCGCAGCGCTCCTGGGCAGGGAAAGTCCTCGACTTACGACCGGTTGGGTAGTCCTCAACTTACGACCGGTTTAGTCCTCAACTTACGACCGGTTTAGTCCTCGACTTATGACCGGTTGGGGTCGCGGTATTAAAAAGGTTGAGAACCACTGATTTAGATTGGTCTGCTTATCAGCTTTATATGCACAAAAGAGATTTCATACAGTATCTGTAAAACTTCATGGTTTCGACAATTATTGAACACATGGGGGTATACGCTAGTTCTCAAAGTTTGCAATATCATACTTCCCTAAAATGATCAATGAATTTGTGTGACTCCCCATTAAAGAATAAAACTAAATAATGAATAAATGTCACAATGATTAGAGTAAGATTTTGACAAAGAGCCAGACTGATAGACTTAACATCTCTCAAAACTCACTCCAGGGTTTGTTCCCCATTGTACGCTTACGAATACTGATGTGAGCTTCAATTGCACTCGTACCTTGTATTCAAAAGAATGCATTGCTTTCTGAATTCTAAAATGCTCATGAACCCCTCACAATGATTGTGATCACCGTTCTAACCCATGCTCAGGAATATCAGTGCCTTCCAGGAAATGGAATCATCTTAACCTTTCTCTTTTAGAAAGATGTCAGCTTTGCAACAATGTTTATGACCACAGACAATCTAATAAAAAATTACCATCATGAGAAACATTACATCAAATATTTTGTATTATCTGTAAATTCAGAGAAACTTGCACAAAGCAAAGCTAGTCAAGCTGGGTTTGGTGCACCCTATCTTGGTAACTCTCACTAAGAGAAACTCAGGTGTCAAGCTCTTAGCCCTTCCTAAGCCAGATAGATGTGTTCTGCCAAATAATTCAGCATATATATGACACAGCCAACCTTAGAAGAAGGATTTCCCCCCTCCCATCTCAGACTGTCAGCATTTTCTATTATTAAACTTCTTGTCATAAGCAGTTTTAAATCATTTGAACAAGGTATGTCCTGCCTGAAAAACGCTTAATACAATATAGGAAGGTTTGTGTTTTTTTCTTCTGCTACTCTACTTTTCCTTCACAAAATTGCATGTCCCATTGAATGCCTGAATAGAAACTACAACTTGGAATAACCGTTGAGGTTTACAGTTTAGCAGGCAAGAATGGTGAAATTATTCAATAAGGCATATCATAATGATTTTTTTTAAAAAAAAATCCAATTTGTAAATGGAAGCAATAGGTAATTTACCTGGATTCTTATGTTTTAAATGACATAAAATGGAGTTTGTGCAGAAGAGATCAGTTCACTGGTACAGTGATTCTCCACCATCCAGCACAAATGGCCATCTGTGGAGGTCAGGATTTGGGCATGATGAATTTGGCCTTGATTATTATTCAATGGATACCTTGGAGAAGTTTTGGAAGGCACAGCCAAAACTTTGGGGCAGTCATAAGGAGTTCTAGATATTTTTTTTCCATTTCTTTTATAAAGCAGAAGTATCTTAACTTGTTTTTATGTGTTTTCTCCCCACTAAAAGTGCAAGGATTTGATTCATTTTATTCATATTGTTTCATTATATGGCATTTTATCAGCACTGATGTGTAGTGACCTCACAGATAGACCTTCTCCAGGATGATCTATCACTAACCTGGCCCCTCAGGTTATCCAATGGTGCACTCATATCTGCTGTAATAATCCACCCACCTGGCTGTTAGTTATCCTCTACTCTTTCCTTCTATGCTTCCCAGCCTTATAGACATCTCAAGAGAACTGGGTGTTTGCATAATATATCTAAAATAACATAATTTGAACCTAGTCATTTTGCTATTGGTGAGAACTATGAATTGATTGGTCCTATCATCCAACTTTTTATTTTCCTAGCTACATATGGTATTCTTAGTAGTCTTCTTCAACAATTTAAATTTATATCCAGTTTCTACAGATTCCAACTTCTTTCACAGAGTGTCACAGGAAAATAATTACCTACATGATTTTGCAAATCAAAACATCTCATGATATTGAATATATTTTTAAGACTTTCATATTTATCATATCAAGTGCTAGTCAGTAGTATGTATTTATTGAATGCTGCTTCTTTTCCTATGGATAGTCAATCCTGAAAGGTAAAACCCATTCTCCTTAGCCATTCTAAAACAGGTTCCTGTATCTGGAATGAATGAATGAATGAATGAACGAACAAATGAATATAAATCATAATTCTGTGTTATCACTGTGTTTCTGCTTCTTCAGAATTACTTTTGCTTCCACAGAGTCTAACAGGGAATGCTATTGCTTGCAATATTCTGATCTTTGTAGATAAAGACACATCAAAATTGTCTGATTTTTTCCCCCAAGGCCTTCATGCCTGCTCTACCAAGTACTAGTCTGTGGTGCATTTCTTTTCTTCTTGCTCCTCTACTGCTGATGGCTGATCCTAAGCAAAAGCTACATACCATTTGAATATCTTCATTATCAGTTCTAAAGCTTTTTGTTCTATTTGTTGTCATTATTTTGGTCTTTTTCATATTTAATTTTAGTACCATTTTTTCACTATTCTCCTTGACTTTTATTAGTAGACCTTGCATATCCTTTGCATTTTCAGCTCCTGGAGTAATGTCATCAGCATGTCACATGTTATTTATGTTTCTTCTTCAGTTTTAAAACCACAATGTCTTCTTCCAATCCAGATTCCCTTAATTCAACACACAAATAGTCAATTAATGACGATTTAAAGTTACAATGGACCTCCCCAGAGCTATTTATGAACTGTTTTAGAATTTACAATGGTTGCACACAAACACTACCCTGTGGTTACATTACTGAATGTTGGGCATGTGGCAATCAGTTCAGCTTTACTATTGTTTGCAGTGTCCTGTGGTCATGTGACTGTATTGTGACTTTTTGCAGGTTTGTGATTAAAAAAGAATACCCATTGGGGAAAATGGATTTGCTTAATGACTCTGCCATTCACTTAATGGTGTTCACTTAACAACAATAGTAAAAAAAATGGGCATAGTTTCATATTTGATTATGTGCTATCATGACTTATAACTGAAATAATTTACAATTGTAATTTGTGCTGTCCCACTCATGAACATACCCACATACACCCACACACACCACAGGTGTAATGAGTCTTTATTAAGGCTTCAGAGCTAAAGAAGCTTCTTGGGTGAGAAGCAAAACATCTTCAAAGAAAAACAAGAAAGTCCAGCTGCCTCCTGAAAAAGCACCTTAGGGACAACCATGACCTGGATGACTGAGAATCTCCATAGACATTTAGCTATGCACTTTGAATGGTGCAGGAGTATGAATGGATTTCCAGAAAACATTGCAGACTACAGGAACCATTTGAGCTTCAGTTTGAGATGCAGACAACACAGACTCATCCCCAACAGCCTGGGCTTGTCTTCAACAGTGAAGGGACACAGGGCAGAAAACATCCTGCAGCCAAGAAGGCTCCACATCCATTTGCACTACTCAGGGGACCCTGAGGGCCCAGGTAAACCTCCAAATGGCCTCAATGACTCTCTAAAAGAATGCAAATGACTGGCTGTTTGCAAGGAATATAAATCCTTCCATTCCCCACATCCAGTCATAGCTGAAGAAGCTTCTTGGATGAAAAGTGAAATGTTTTAAAGAAAAACAAGAAAGTCCAGTTGCCTCCTAAAAAAGCACCTTTGGGACAGCCATGACCTGGATGACTGAGAATCTCCATAGACAATGTTCATGGATTCTTCTTCTGCTGCTTATCATTTTTCTGTTGAGATTCCATCATTTCCTGTAGCCCTTCAGTTTGGCAATTTGCTAATCTAACTTCATGGATATTATTGGATTATTCTTCCTGTTGCTTCTGTAATCACACCAGAGAATATTTTAATGAATCTTCTAAATCCATTCCCATAGCTATTTGCATCATATTTGTTATATATCTTTACCTTTCACAGACTGTAAAGACTTGTCACTATAGTTGACTTTCAATCACTTGCACAGTTTACAACACCCTGTTTTTTCCCATTAAATGCAGAAATACATGTTCTGCCTCGAGACATGTAAAAAAGGAAATCTATGAAAGATCATCATTTCATATTAAAACCTTGGGGTTGGCACATTTGCTTATTTATTCTTTCCTTTGAAACCCCAGGTTGCACAAACTAAATATCACACTACTAAAATAATTTTTAAGGAATTTACTTTGTTTGGAATTCAA